TAAAAACTTCTCAAGTTATTATAAAATATAAGCCAAGGTAAAATGTTAATTGATTAATTAAGAACGAATACTGTAAAATAATAATACAATAGATTCTTACATTTCACGTAATTGTATTTATATGGTAGACATTCTCTGTTTATTATTGAAACCCTTGTATTGTGTAAATTATTTAGTTCAACTATTATTAAATTACTAAATTGATTTTAAAACATACACAAAGATGTTAAAGTATACAAAAGGAAGTTCTATAAATTTGAAAATACACAAGTTTATTAAGAAAAATAATGATAATGGTTCGCGCATACTTCTACGTCAAAAAAGGAAAATCTTAACTGCAAGGACGAAAACAACTGAAAAATCGAATTCAGCTTATCACAATTTATAGTTCACAAAATTTGTCAACATTCGACGGTCATCGATTACACCATCAACTTCACCATAGAATATATTATGGAATTAGTATGCTCTCTGTGTCATACGTATATAGGTACTCTTATCAATTATATTTAGATAGTTGGGATAAAGAAGTTGAAATGTATACTTAAATCCTTATATTTTTTTAATTTATATGTAAATATATGTTAGTGTGCTATAGACTTAGCCCTGTAAAAATATTTTAAGTTGGGCCATTTTTAGGAAATTTTCTGACCAGATCTTAATATTCAAATTGTTTACATTTATTATTTTGGATATTTTTCTAAATCTGTCTTCACATTTTCTTGAGCACGTTTAGTTATTTTTTAAATCGCCTCCAGAGTTGTACATACCAATTTGTGATGCGGTTTCAGCGTGTTTTGGGCATTATAATAATTTTCTAAAATTTATTTAAAACAGAATTTTGTATTCTATTTAATTTGTTGAATTCAATTCTTGTCTCAAAATGAATTAACCACTTTTTTTATACATAAAATTTAATTTTTAAATGTCCGATTCCGGTTGACTCCTGCGCCCGACGTCCAGGCTAAAATACAATGTTGAATTTTATATTCCGCTTATAGAATCAGTCGCGTACGGATTATGCAGCGTGGTGCATCGACGATTGAATTCTTATTACAACAACACAATAATATTATCATTGTCGCACATTGTTCTCGAACGTTTTCGCCGGGTAACGACCAACACACGGACACAAAACATACACACACACATATATCTATACAATATAATATATTTGACTAATATCGGAAATGTATTTCTACTCACGTAACGCCGTGACCCGTTGGCCGCAAAATTAAAAATTCCCAATGTCCAAAAACGTGGGAGTTGGCGCGCACAATAACGGGGCTAATTTTTTGTCGGTCGACTGAATAAGACACATTTGTCAGCCGAGAATCAATTGGGATCGACAACTTTCGGATAACCCAACCTCGCCGTCGCCGGCCGCCGAACAAAGATCCAAGAACAACAGGCGTCCATTATGAGTCCCTAACAAACCGTAAACACCGTCTATTGTCCGCGGTAGTAGTACCTACCTATGTAGTGGCGTTGTTGTATTTAATTTCGTACTTTGTTTCCATCGATATCGGAGAAACGCGATATATTATATTATGTTTCGTATAGGCATCCAACATTTTCGGCTTGGCTTTGTCTCGAGCTTTCTCTGCGGACAGAAACAAAATGTTCATATTATAATAATAATATGTAGAAAACGCTACCTGTGTCCCGACGGTCGGCGGAAACGTCCGCCATGAGATGCACGGTGTAAACCGGATAAAAATACCGTCGAAAAACCAATTGCATATTATGTTATTACCATAATCATTATACCTACTTGCGCCGAAATAATATTTATGGACCGTCGCGGTTAGGTATGTTGACAGGTTGTTTTACTTTGAAATCGTGTCCAAACGTTTCCATACTCGAATATACATTTGGTATTATATTATGATACGAATCGAGAACAGGCGCACCGACCAGTAATTACCAAGCTGTTCTGTATGCACGTCAGCTGTCGGCCGTGCATTGCGTGTATCGGATTACTAATTCCTGAGGGTGTTAATAGAATACATATTTGTGATGTGTCGTTTTTAGCGAAACGTCTTAAGCGACAGTTTATCTTGAAAAAAAACATTTAAATCAAAAACATTTATCCAATAGCGCAACTAGAGAGGGAGGGTTAGGCAGGTTGCGACAATTTAAAAATATCTCAGAATTTCGGTAAAAATGAAAAACATTTCTCGTAGCAGTGGCGCCAAAGTCTTAAAAATGTGGTCGGGCAATTCCAAAACTTAGCGTCCTCAGCATGAACGTTTATATATGTATATAATGCACAGTTTTTGAAAAAGTGGACCTCAGTATGGACTTCGGCGCCACTGTCTCGTAGGGTTGAATCAAAATGGTCGCTGGCATTTTTCGAGAGCCTAAAGGTAGCTATAGATGATACAATATTTGTTTTAGCGTCCATGGCTGTGTAAACATACATACCAAATACTTATCAGAATAAGCCTTTAATGCATAGACATAAGACTGGTAAAAGGCAAAAATGGCTAAACGACAGTTTCACTAATTTTCATCTACATCGTGATAAGGACATAAAAATAGTAAATCGAGTGTAAATTTCGTGGTAATAATTAAATGTATTGCCAACATTTTTTTCATGATTTTACCTTGTGATTTTTTTTAAACTTTTTAGTTTAAACTGATTGTATCGATTTATTTAATTTTAAGATTTATGAGGTCTTTATTGGCATCACGTCCGATTGATACTACGACAACAAGTGAGCAAAATAGTTTTTTTCCCCTAAATAATGTAGTTGAATAGTTAAAATGTTTTTTTACATTAGTTATTTAACGTAGTACTCGGGCCCGTGGAGCCAAGTGAATAAGGCGTAGTGTTACGCACGAACGTCGGTATTATTAATAGGCAATATCTGATCAGACCAAATTATTTTTTTTTTTTGTGTTGACTCGTTAACCCTATTTAATTCGTTTTGTCGATTAAGGATTTACACTTAATCTGTGTAAAATATGTAAATATCTATTACAAATGCCTGTAATTAATATTTATACACTTTTTAAAAACATAGACATTTGGAGGTTAAATTTTTAGTTTAAAAACATAATTTTGGTTAACAACGGATTCCATACAGCAAAAAATATATAATATATATTTTTTATTACATTTTTATAAACATAAATATTTTTATTTTACTGTGATGAAGTATATTTAGTGTAACAAAATACTATAGTTATTAATTTTTATTTTGTAATATTACACCTATGTTTAACGTTATATTGTTATGTAATTGAATATTTCATGTTTAATAAATACCCCCCTTTTTTTTTTGCTCAATCCACTACTACTTCCTTTTGAATTTTTCCCTATTTTCTGTATAATTTTCAACAGTATTAAGTGTTACAGTTACTATACGGTAAACGTTAAAACTCTTGACTAACTATCTCAAATTAAAATCTAACTATTAAATACGCAACAAAACTAAAAATTATGTATGTTATGATTTTGTTAGTTTACATCTGCAATTAAAACAATAATGTTCAATAGACTGATTGATTCAAACTTCAAAGATTCTGGGTGAAAAAATTGTGAAAAAGATAGTAAATTCACAGAGAAGAAGCAATGGAAATAACCGGATTATTAAGATTTATCAGCGGATTTAAAATATTTTTTTACTTCAGTTGAATAATAAAATGTATGCTCTTTACACATTTAATAGTAATAGTGGTTTTATCGTTTAACTTTAACTAAGCAAATAAAAACCCGGTTATTTGTGTACATCCAATAGGCAAAATCCGAATTATAGTCTCATCTTTACACAAAAATTCAATTTTTTATGGAGAGGCCATTAAAATTGTTTGAAGTCCCTTCCTGTTTTGGCCTTTTTAGTGTGTAGAATCTATTAAAAAATACAGTAAACAGACAACCCGTTTTAAAACTATATAAAGCCTAGAACGTTTCACTTTTTTCCATCAAATTCGATAAAAAAACCCTATTTCAACTACTAGATTTTTAAAATTCCATTGGTCATTTTTCATTGGTGGGTAAAGTCGGGCAAACACATTTTTACAATAGAGCACGTATAATATACAATTTTTAATTATTTAAATTATGAATAATTAGGGAAGGAGACGTACTACTGGGGCAACATCAAATTTGTATAGAGCACTTGGCCCACCATGACGCAGCTTATCGCCGCTTTATTTTAACGCTTACAAAAAATATCTAAAGTTCCTAAACTTGTTACTTTTCTGTAAAAAAACATCAACTTCAGCGGCTGATATTTACATTTCTGTTTAATGGACAAGTCCGGTTTTACACAGGACACGTATTTAAGGTTGAGAAATAGAAATCCGAGGATAACTAAATTTCGTCGAAATTTAAACATGTATCCCTTCTGCAATAATTAGGAGTTCGTATATAACTAACACGACATTTAAAATTTCTGACCTCGCATCTTTTTTTTATTTTTTGGTCGCTTGTTTATATTGTAATATAATATTGTATGTCCGTCCGGTTCAAAAATAGTAGGCTAGTAATTAACCCGGCGTGGAAACACATGAAAAATCATAATTCTCTTTGAAAACAACTCGATAAGATCTAGTTTTGGCGCAATTCGTTTATGCTATTAAGTTACAATATTTGACTATTCGTAAACGGCAAATTGGAGCTTTTGATTTTGCAAAAACTTTGAACTTTGGCACCGAAAACCCGCCATCATCGCAAATATCGCATATTGGAAATTTTTTTTTTGTTTGTTTCCTAAGCCGAGTGACAAGATATATACATACGTGGCCACGACAATGCAATGGGACAAACGCAGACCAAACAAAACTCGCCAAGACCGTATTACAAGGATGACACGGCGCGGCCGTGCAAAAACCGGGGGGAAACCGGTGACCTACTGTTGCAGTTTCCGCGTCCCCTTTTAGTGCATGTAGGTACACGATAATATTACATTGTAGTGGTTTTTTTTTCTCTTTCTTTCTACCATTTCTCCGGGCCGACCAATTGAATTCGCCTTGCCCGCGCACATACATATTATACACAGTCGGTTGCCACAGCTCGTTCAGTCGGTGTCCAGTCCGCAACCGGTACTACTCCCGCCGCCGATAGAAAAACGAGTCGCCAATATAAATCGTCGCGCCAACAGTGTTCCGGTCGTGTAAAAAAATCTCGTCTACGTGATATCATCCGTCACCGACATATTATTATTATTACCATCATCACTCGGTCGTCTCGAAAATCACACATTTCATTGTAAGTATACACATGGAATTATTCCCTACGTATTTAAATAAATGTATGTCGCATGATTTACCATTGCTGCCGGTTCGCTGTGTGCATATGATATGTTGGCGCTTGTCGTCGGACGCACTAATTACAATCTGGGTTGCGTCCGCGCCAACGGTAGTTTTCAGACGAGGGTGTCGGAAAAAATCACCAAGATATTGAGATGTCTTCATTGTTTCGGGTCCTCCATCGAGGCCCCCAAATTTGTTGAAATTGGTCGCCCAACGGGAAATGGAACGCTCCCGTACATCTTAATACAACTCGATCGAAATTGATTTTGATTAATGCGAAAAGAGTCTTAGTCTACATTTTTAACGAAAACGAGCTCACCGCGGTTTTGTCATTTTTTGCATACAAAAATTCTTTATTTTTTTTAAGTTCGAGGTCGTGGATTAAGGCCTTTTCAAAACATAAAATCAAGATAACATCGTTTAACTGTTTACATCAGTACAGAGGTATATAAACACATACTTAATACTATTTCATAGACATACAAATGATATCTCATATCACAAGTTCTCTAAAACTATAAAAATTATATAACAAACATTTATTTATTACGTTTAGGTACCCATCAATTATTTTTCTTAAATAACAACTTTTATATACAAATAGAAAACTTCTATTTTTCATTTATTTTATGTTAAAATTCTGTAAATATATTTATAAGTAAGAATATATAATTAGATACCCTTAAATAACATTTTTTAGAGTAAATCATCACCATTTCTAGAAAACAATTATTTTGTACCTTGCACGATACAAAAAAAAATCTATTAGTGTACAATGAAAACTTTACGTCGAATGATTGATCTGGAGGAATGTTAGCATGTCGACCGTTGAGAAAAGAATGTTAGTAGTCGTAAATTAATATTATAATTGATTTTTCTTTTAAACAAAACTTTTTAATTTTTACATTTTGGAATGGCTTTTTGGTTTAAATTTCGCATGCTTTCACAGTCTCCTCCCATATTAATCTAATTTCTATGTTTTTCGATTAAATTACCATGTAATAATACAGTACCTAATTTGTCAATGACAAGTGAGTAGGTATCGATTTAAGATAAGCTTGTTCTCGATCGGTGTACTATACTATACCACATGTCGAGATGTTTTAAATGAGACGTTACCGTTCATTGTGTATTCGGTGTAAGTGAAAATCAACAGTTAATAGGGCATTATTACTATTGTTATTATTATTATTATTACTATTATTATATTATTATTATTATTATCATAATATTATATTAGCCCGATTTATAATTGCAACCATTATTCAAACAATTCAGACGAATAATAATAATATCATAATATTATTGTATAAATGTAAATAGGTTGAAACAAAAGACGATTTTGTCTATTTTTTTTTTTTTTTGTCCGTTTCGACTTTCCAAAAACGCAGGTGGTCTTTATACATATATAGGGTGTTAGCCAGTGTTCGATTATAGTTCATAACGAATCCTATGGAAATGACACACGCGGATGTGTAGCACCAGTCCCCAGACGCCACAGCGAAACTTGTTAGAGCTGCATTGTTTTTGAAAATAGCCATCCAATATTAATATTCATCGGCATGCCGAGACCGTTATAACGCACGTCCGCGGTTTTCTGTATTCCAATCAGGGATCACTTCAATATTGTATCTGTACAAAGCGTATATTATAGTGACACCTAAAATAATATAATAATATCCACTTCGTTTGCGAAATTTGTTTAAAGCAAATACAAGAGCATTGTCCCTATCCCCTACGCAACTTTGATCGGTACACCATATTCGCTCCGACGAGTAAATATTATAATATTTAAATATATATATATATACATATATTATTATATATTATATATATATATATATATATTTATATATTTATTGGCCCAATTGAGCGCTGTTATTTTTCTGTAATATTATAATATATTAGCCAATATAAACAGTTCCGGTACGTCGTCCAGGGTCCTTCTGTTCTTGTCATAGGATTAAGCATCTGAAAAAAATTACTAGTTATTTAATTATTATTATAATCGTGCGTGAGCGCGCGCGAATAGCCGGAACGTAATGCAAACTGAAGATGTGTTATCTTTTTAAACGTCGCCGCCGAGTCGCTGTTACCGTCAAAATAGTTAAACGAGAGAGATAATATTATACTCGATCGTGGTACACTAGTGTTTTATGTACCATTGTTTATCCATCGTTGCTCTTAAACCGTATAATTTAATGCACTGTTATTTTTGCATGGACTATTTGAGTGTCGCTCAATGAGAGGTCACGCGCTCTCTTCGGGGGACAAATGCAAAATAATAAAGCTATGAAAGTTTTCACCCCTTCTGGTCGAAAGGGTTTTGATTTATTTTAGTTTGTCAGCCACGTACTATTATATCTAAATAATATATTCTTAATACTTTTGGAACTAGTTCGACTATTCGGAGAGGAAGGGATGAACTTTTTAAATTTTTGGTTCAACACAGTATCTTTTTGGAACGATTTTTGATCTATAGACATGCTAGATACAAAAATAGGTTCTGCGGTTTAGAAGATTTTAGTTTAGTGGGTCCAGAATAAATAAACATGAATAAAAAATAAAAACACATTATTGTAAAACTAGAAACTAATAAAACATTGTATAATATTTTATGAAAATGTCTATTCTACGTATACAATGTCAACATTAAAATGTATATAAAAGTTAAAATAATTGTTTTCATTTTCACACAATCTCACAAGTCATAACGTTATTGAAGAAAAGTGTTTTTATAATATTCGACTTATATAATTTTGTATATTTTATGAAGACCTTTTACCAAATAAAACCGTTTGGAAAAAATCGTATTAATTATATTTTATTCATTTCACGGAACATGTTCTATACAATGATTTACTGACAAAATTGTAAATCGTTATTTTGAAAATTTAACGATGGTATTTCAGGGAATATCATCGAGGAGCTTGTGAAGCAATAACGTTTAAGACTTGGTTATGTGCAGTAAATTGATTGATAAAATAATAATACTCTTTTAGATTTTCTGTTCAATTTCAATAATCCTCTTACAAATACCGTGTCGTGCATGCCCACAATAATACCATACTTTTGTTATAATAATACTGAGTACAGTATACAATAATTATGCTTTTACCAGAAATCCGTCTTACGTTTGCGCGACATCACATAATGCTTTGCCATATTGTTAACATCAAAAGTGGAAAAGATAAGGGGCACAGATTTATCATACCAAGTTTGTTTTCGTAACAACATGTATTACTTTTGTTATTAGCGTAATATGGAGCCAAAAAGAATACAGACGTATAATTAATTTTAATGGGCAAATAATGGGAACCTCCAGGCTATATACAATATATATATAAATGTATCATGAGCATAGAAAAAAAAAACCAACGAAACTGGTGGTCTTTAATTAGAATATTTCCAGATTTCATTGATGCGCGTTAGACAACCCAAGCCGATAATTTTAGGTATACTTAGTTTTCTTATTCTTTCAGCTTCTCACCATTCAACCGTTTAGGCCGTTCAAATAACAGGATATTATTTGCCACACCTCCAACAAATAATAATTAATAATATATCTAGCTGGTCTAGCTGGTTTCACACACTGCTACTGGGTCAATATCCTGGACAAGTGTGAATAAGGTATTAGCTGCATTGTGATTAATCTTTCGCCGACATTTAATAAATTCTATATTGGCACACAACCGTTGTTTAGTAAAGTAGGTAGTACAATCAATGTCGTAGAAAAATAATTATTTTTTAATTATTTTGAACCCCGTGTTCAAATCATTTAAAAATCCTACCACCTAAACAGCATATTATCTATATGGACAGTGGTGAACCAAGTAGGAGTAATAGAAACCATTGATATAGTTTCTGTTTGGTGACATGACAACAGAAAATGAATAGCCCGTTCATTACTTGAGTTTATATAATTATCTCTTTCCGAGGAAAGAGATAATTATATTATTTGACCCGCAGTCTCAGTCTAAACATGCTTAGTTTACAACTGTATTTAGCTTATAGACAAAATAACAAAAAAAAACATCAATAAAGATTTCTTACCACAATACATGCTGGGTTATGGCCAACATTCTTGTGAAAAATTGAATCATTTTATTAAACCTCTTATCATCAAATTGTCGTACACCGCCGTAACACTTTGAAGAAAAACTTGAACGTGTTTTATTATATTACTTTCGAGTTTGAATTACACGTCTTCCAAACATTGCAGCGTTTCCATAACTGTGTGTGTTGCATATTATCATACTTGCATTACACTAAGCTAGCTCGTACTTGGAATACTAAATACAACGGTTTCTTAATAACTATAATTTTGCATCAAGTTCAGTACATCGATCATAAAAATATAAGATTACTAATTTAAAATGTAAAAAATAACATATTATGTATAATAACGTTTTCATAATTGTATCGATGAGTATAATTTCAAAGTAAAATAATTATTGTTACTTAATAGTTAATACTTGTTTACAGAGTCGTCTACAACAATTGTATCCGCCCGTCTACTTCAGCAGTCACGCCTCAACACAGATTACATTTCAGCAATGAGGAACTTTATAAAAAAATTCATAGCGTATTGTAACAGATAACTATCACTAACACTACAGGTAAGTGTGCCATCTGGCCAGCTATATATATATATATATGTGTGTCTTTACATTTGTTAACTGTAATTTTAGACTGTATAAGATAATGCTGTATGGTTTTTAACGAAACACAATCTATAACAATATTAATTCGTGCTGCATAACAGTTGATTTCGTAACGTTTCTTGACCATTAGTCAAAATATATACAAGTTCTATTTTCGGTTCTAGTTTTGTCGATGCTTCGCCGCAAATAAAAAAATATAGAAATATAATACGTAGTCAGTAGTTGAATAATAAAATCTAAAAAATTCTAACCTAATCTAACGGATTGCGAGTTTGAAATAATTTTAAATTGTTAAAAAAAATTCATAGGCATACATATCTGTATAAGTTTAATGCTCTAGAAGTTAATTTGATTGGAAGATTGACAAAAAAATCACTGTACACCGAACACAGTTGAATGGCTATTAATAAAAGTGGGTGGGAGACTTCTTCCCACACATTCCGCCACGACACTTCAAAAATAATGATCATTCGATGTCTCTTGACAAGATAATAATCGCATGATTGTCCGCTAATGTGGTCACACATTATGCCGAAAAAAGTTATTAAAAAAAAAAATAATAATAAGTGAAAAAAAAATGAAAGAGAAACTTAACAACTCAATATTCTCCTGGTGTCGATGTTTCGAGTCATTTACTGAATAGCCGGCATGCCTTCGCGTGTGATATGCTTGTGGGAGTGCTAGGACTAAGAGCTGTGTGTGATATACTTTGTATTAAAAGTACATATTTAACCATCGGAATAGTATCATTATTGACCCCGTAAGAGCAAAGACAACCGGTTCCATACGAGTATTACAATATACATTGAACTCGCAAGAGAAGAGACGGTGAACAATGTACAGACGGTCGAGGAATTTCAAAAACAATCCGTTTCTTTTTCCAGACGGTCGTACAATGGGAAGATTCACTTTTAACCTTTTTGCTTATAATATTATAATATGCCTTCTCTTCCTGACTTCAAGTCCGGAAGTATACAATTCCGTCAAACGAGTGTCTCGAACTGTACCATAGTCTTGTTTTACCGGTCAATTACAAAAGTAGAATAATTTCAACAAGTAGTACAATGTACATAATATGTTACTGCAACTTTGCCGTCGCTATAATTGAAACACTTACGTTGTTGTACTGTTAAGGTATAACACTCAAAATAATTACACGTTCGTTGCCGGAATCAAGACGGCCACTTACAATCCCAATTATTGTAATTGGATGTCCGCTTAGCTTAACTAATAGCTTATAAAATTGAATTTAGGTATTTATGTATTAGCATAGTACAATCATTGAGATTATATTATAATTTATAATTCAAGTATACTTGTGTGAAACTGCCTGTTTAGGCGATAGGCGTTAATTAAATAAATGTAAACAATTTTACAGTACAGTATAGTGTCCAATGTCCAGTGTAGAGTCTGTTGTCAAGTTTATAGTTTAATAATTGTCTTATTCTGAGTGTTCATGCGCAACTGGTTTTTTATGTGCTGCAAAATATAATCGTACTCGAATCTAAAACAATTATTTTTCAAAACTACAAGTAACGTGAAAACATGACAAAGATTAATGTGCCTGCATAGTTAATATATAACACATCATGATAAAAACGACAAATGGCATACTTTAATTATTTGGCAAAAGAGCTCACTTTGATTTAATGTATTTTTTTTTTTGCATAGACAAAACAAATGATTTGAATACATAATATTAAGTATAACAAAAACTGGAATGCACTCTTGTACATGACAATGACGATTTCCGTATAATACAGTTAAAGTAATGTGCGTTCATACTATATAGCTTATTTAGATTTAGCCGTCCACATATTAATTTCAATGATGATATTTCCAAACCAGACGTTCTTAATAAATCTAAAATAATATTACAAAAGACGCCTTTTTTATGATTTTAATTTATTTATATATAACTGTAAAGGCTAAGGTAATTATTATATCAGTATGAGAACTCCGCATATTGTTTTCCCATATTTTATTCCAACTCGGTCACGCATCTTTTACAATAAGTTGACTTTGTCTTATTCCAAATTTGAAGTTATATACAATTATTATCATTTTATTAAAGAACGACAAATCAAAAACCTAGTTAAGTGTTGATTAAAAAAAAAAAAAAAAAAATAGGCGAATACATAAGAAAAAGCCACGTTAGAAATTTAGTCTCGTAAAAATTATTTTTACTTGTTCTTTACTGCCTTAATGAAAGCGAGAAGCCTAACAAGACGCTAACGGGTAGTTTTCTAATATAAAAACTAATAATCCAAAAACAAAATACATACATGAAAAATATTATAATGGTAATCATGTTATGTGTTATCATATAATGTTATGCTAAATTGACAAAGCTCTGAGTCTTACAAGCGAGTATAAAACAAAATCTCAGTGTGTGTGCACTGTGCAGCTTTCATTGTTGGACCCATACAGAGATTTCTCGAGGCATTACGTTCCATTGAAACCTCCTGCAAAATACTTTTTTTTTATATACATACACTACAAATAAATAAAGAGAAATATAATTCCATTATGATGCTCACAGCAATATAATTTTAGATTTTCCTCCACTATACTCAACATAATACATTTTATTGTTTAAAAAAAACTAATGATCGTTCTCATCAGTTTTGCTAAAAAATTAATTATAAAATTAACCATACTAAAAATCAAACTTTCCATGTGTATGAGTGTTTTTAACTCTCAGCAGTTATAGTCATTAGATGATTATATGATTAGTTCCCAATTGCAATATGTCTTTGGTAAATTACATAGTTCATTTTTTTTAAAACTGGTTTTTAATGGATACCAAGGAAATTAGCATTAGATTATCTGCACGCACACTAAAAATGTGTCAGTTTCAAATCCGGATTTTTACCTCCAATTATTGTCTTGTGTAAAATTAAATATCAACGAAAATCAATAGCATGTTATTAAATTATAATAATTATTTAAAAAAATAAATAATTGAATACTAATACTTTTATGAATGAATAGGTACTATGAACTTTTATGCCAAATGAAATAAACATGATAACATGCAAAATATAAAATTGTATGTAATTCGTTCACTCTATTAAAACCAAACTCAAGGCTGTAAACGATCAATAACGAATAAAACGAATAGTCAATAAATAATGTTAACAGTTGATGATTTCGTTTGTTTTGTATGGTTAACCACTTATTTTGATCTAATTTTCAATATTTAACATTCACTTCATTGTTGTCGTTGTCATATCAGAGATGTTTACACTTTCCTTGGCATAATAAAAATAACCAGATGATCAAAAACCTCTGTTTACTATAGTCATTTCGTTAGTTTCAGTAGTTAATTATTAATAAGAAAGTTTAAAATAAAAAAAAATAAGTATTTAGCTCAAACCGATGATTTCAATCATTTGCCACACCCCTACATGGACTATTAGTTTAAATTTGGATTTTTTAATGAAATACAATCAGTTATTACAATATGACTAAAAGATTGTAATTTAAAAGTTTTTCTGAACAAATTTCAACATTTATTAATAACAATGTTAATAAATCATGAAGATAGTTTATCATGATGATCATTTGCATATATCCCGTACTTAAATGTGTACCATATGCAATTTATGAGAGTAAAGAGAACAAGTTTACCGAAAACTTTTTTTAGTGCACTCGTAAACGAAACACATAAACCTTGTGAAAATGATTGCTGCAATAAAATAGTTCACAATTTTAGTTTTGAAAAAATAATTACAACCAACTCCGCCTTTTTTTAGTACATAATATAATATAAAATATATACTATCTAACTGACCTGTTCTGGGGAACCATTAAGTTCAATTAATCTCCCAGTAAATCTATCAATATTTTCCAGTCCGACACGGCCGATTGTTAATTTTCTGCACGATTTACTACATTCCAAGGTTTGAAACTCAATCAACTCTTCACTCTGAACATAATTTTGACAAATGTGAAATGTCTATATTAAGCAAAACGTGATACATCACATAACTCCTAGACAAAAATCGCTTTTAACCGACATTTTATGTAAGAAGAAATGTTGAATTTATAATTTTTATAAAATTTGGTTTTGTGCTAATATAGACTGATCGGTTTACTTTTTAGCGTTATGTTTAACCGCATTTTGTACCTATCAATATGATATTTATTCAACGTCATTTTAGCATCTAAGCAAGCAGGCTATAAATCAATGTAGTAGTTAAAGAGTGACGATCAATAATCGTCATCGTCGTCGAACATAAAACATAAAAATGTATTACTTATTATACAGGATTTTAAAACCCTTTTAACGATCACCCGTGTATTTTTCATCAGATCTCGTTTTATTTCATAACATTTATATTTTCGATGCTGTTTTATCATTAGTTTATCTGTTGGTCGGTTAACATTTTGATAATTTTTGTGTGAGATTAACGCAATTAGAATGTGTGAATACACTTCGCAAATAAAATAATCTCATTATGTTATTCGGCGGTATCCAATAACATAGAAAAAACGAACAATAATAATAACGGCCTATTCCGAATGAACGATTACATTCATCGCCACGAATCCTAGACGTTCACGAAAAACGATCAAATTATTATATTTTGTGCTACTTAAAAAAAAACCGCGAATGAATGCGTTGCGTGCAAAAGATAAATAAATATTTCTGGATGAATCCGGTTCCGTCTGTCGTGATTATATTGTATACTTCCGCGTTAGTCGCCGCATAACAAAAAAAAAATTATATATAAGAAGAAGAAAAATGTTAAAAGTTCATCATGAACACCACATTCGCTATCATGCAGTCCTTATGAGTGTATATTAGACGGGCTTAACGCGTCCGGCAAACCGGTCGAGGTAATCGTGTCATAAGGGCATCGCGTCTTGTGCCGTCCTGGGTTTATTATTTCACAATATAATGCAGTGTTATTATATCGAATACACACATACAATAATATTACATACTC